TCTAATTAGCATTCCCTATTAAAAACAAATTATATAGTGGAAAGAACACAGGCTTTGCTAGATTCTATTTTCTTCCAGTTATGCTATATGACTGAATCTGCTATATGATCTTAGGAAAATCACTTGTTTATCTTATCTGTAAATGAGGCTAAGAATTCTTGTTTTGCCTACTTCCCACAGTTTTGTAGGACTAAATTAGATAATTCCTATGAAAACATTTTTTCAGCTGTAAAACTCTAGGCTAATATTAGCTTTTAAGATGTTTCTTCAAGCTGGGAATGTAGCTCAGGTGTGGCAGAGTATAGTGTGCTTACCTAGCCTACCTGATGTGCTGGGCTCAATCCCCAGGATGGGGGGACAGGGGAATGATTCTTTTAAGCTTTCGCTGTCTTCTGCTTAAACATCTATTATTGCTTTTATCTCCTTTTACCATATTATCTGACTGTATTTCTTTTCATCCACTAGAATATGACTTCTAGATCTAGTGGTCAACCCATAATAAATATTGAACAAGTATATCTAGTGTAAGAAAAGTCTCAGGAAGAGAAAATGAATAATGATTTTATTTATTACAATGAAACAACTAATCTGTAATCATAATACTTACAGTCTATAGAAAATGATCATAAACAATTTAGTTCTTACACTCCAAAGTTAATCAGATGCTCCAAAAGAAAACTCACCCAAGTTAAGCTTTTGTTCAATCCATGACACTATGTTTTTTGTATATTTTGACCATGTTTTAGCATATGAGAAAGCCAATTCAATACAGTCAGTGTCTTTTAATAGCACATTGTCTAATTCTACAGGAGAAAAATTTCCTGAAAATAAAAATATCAGAGTAAGTATTTGTTAAATATGGTCTATAATAATTTTAAAGCAAGCAGAATTCAGACAAATTTATAACTATAGGACACAACGTAAACATAAAATGGCCTCAAATTACAATATATTTTTATCTTAATATGTCATTTTGCACTAAAAATGAGTACCCTAGGTACACTAGGTTACATTAATCAAGAAGATATTAAGTAATCTAAAACACTCATTGAAAGAAACTGCAAAATTTTTTGACAAAAATTATAAGTACATTGAGTATTACCTGGTTCATTAGATGGCTTGACTGAGTCCACAGAAATGTTTTCAAAAGACTTTGCAACATGGAAGAAAACAAATTTAAGATTAGAGCAAAAGACAACAAATCTCTGCTTCAGAAAATTTTTACCCCAACTCATTACTTTGACATAATTCCTACTAAAGAATTTCAAGTATTTAAAACCTTTTAAAGAGCCTGAGAAGTCTGTTTAAATACCAGAACATTTATATTTTCTAAGAATTATATGGAATTTTTGCCCAGCAGTTCTTAAGATCCAAGAATAAACAATCTCATTATTTACTAACAGCATTAGTTAACATAAATGAATCTATGCAAAACTTTAAATTTTGCATATCTCCCAAATATTAGGAAGTCAAAGAAGTCATCTAAATATATTGCTATCTAAACAAAAGATATAGAAGAAGTGATCTAAATAGATTGTTATCTAAATAGAAGATATAGATCTATTCAGCCATCTTTTACTATTTTATTATATGATAAGCATATTCTTGAAAGTTTATTAGGTAGTTTAGCACAGAACTTTCTGTAAAGATGCAAATATTTTATAATGTAATATCCTATATGGTAGCTATTAACTACCATATAGTTATAC